AATCATAAAGAATTATTTCCAAGGGAATTTTATTTCTAAGCTGTCTGAGAGAGAAAGCATGTATTATAGACTAGCCCAGGCAAAGTGGTTGTGCTTTGAGCTGCAAATTGCAAAGCCAGCAGTTAGAATCACCAGCCACTCCACAGGAGAGAGATGGGGCTTTTTACGCCAGAAATGAAATATAGTCTCAGAAATTCACAGGGACAGTTCCCCCCTGTTTTAGAGGGTCGCTATGAGTCAGAACCTACTTGATGGTAGTGATTTGATTTTTTTGGAGTGTTAAGAACATTTGGATGACATTAGATAGTCTTCAATTTTTTAATTAGAAAATGATATAAAATCGTTCCGATCCTACCCAGGACCAAAAGCCATACTCACTGCCATTGAGTCAACTCTGACTCTCCTATAGGACAGGGTAGAGCTGTCCCTGTGCTTTTCCCAGATAAAGGGAGTATAAAGAAAAGCTTTGTGGTTTCAGACTGCTGGTTATCTACCCAAAGCATAACCGCTTTGTCACCAGGATGCCAGGCCACCCAAATTCAAGTCTGTGTTGAGCTGCCAACTGTTATGAAACTTTGACTACCCACATGTTCCAACCGTCACAGCCATTTAGAGGTTCAGTTGAGTTGAAATCTGTGATGTTCTGGAAAAACTATTTCCCTCAATTACATGTACTGGGTCAGTGTTTCATCGAATGAATTGCATTTTGCCAAGGATAAGAAATCAGAGAGAAATTACGCCAGGGCACACTAACTCAAGGCCACCTATTGAATGAAGGAAGCAGAACACACTGAAGAAGGTTTACCACCCAGTATTATCCTTCAGAAAGTGATTTGATGTCCTTGAATTGATTCCAGCCTCTAGCCACCCCATGAGACTGAGTAAATCTGCCCAGTAGTCTGTGCTCTTTGGAGAAGCAGATCGCCAGGCCTTTCTCCTGCAGAGCCCTTGGGGGTCTTGAACTGCCAGCCTTTCAAGTAGCAAGGATCTGCCATTCAGGGGCCCACCACTGAAATATGCCAATATGTCTTAAAATTTTGAATCTTTGAGTTACCTGTCCTATCTATGCCCAAAGTGTCTTGAATTTTCTATTTAATATTACTTATAACTGAAATAAGTAATCCACAGGCTCTACCATAAAGTACTAGATAATTAATACTAAATAAAGCCAAGCCCACTGCCATTATGTTGGATTGGACTCACAGAGATGCTATATAGGGGTTCCAGAATCGAAAAATCTTTACAGGTGCAAACAGCCGCATCTTTCTCCCACAAAACAAAATACTGCCCACTCCTGTGTCATCCTTAATATTGTTGTTATCGCTGAGCCCATTATGCAGCGATTGTCAATCTGTCTTGCCGAAGGTCTTTTTTCTTTTCTTTTTTTTCTACTCTTTTTCTCTGCCTCTCTACGTCTCAAGCGTGATGTCCTTCTCCTGAGAACATGTCCAAAATCTATGAGACAGAGTCTTACCATCTTTACTGCTAAGGGCATCCCCTATAAGTAGGTGGAAGCTAAAGATGTATTATTTGTTTTAAAATGAAACAAAGGAAAGAGCATTGGATAAAATGTGGTGATTATAAAACTGCGCACCTCAAGATCCCCAGAGGAAACACTGAGTTAGAGTTTACCAAACTTTAAAGGTCTTAAATCATTCCCATGCCCCGCATCAAGTAACAGTGATGATACCGTGATTAGATTGATTGCCTAAGACCAGTGCATGTTCAAAAACCCATTCCCTAGTACTTACTCATCTTTATTTTTTTTTGCAATCTCACAGAAAAAGAGGGAGACTGGAATATTAATATTTATGACTTAATTAAGGTCGGGACTCATAGAGCCTCCATATAAAACCACTTATGGAGTTGTCGATGCCACCGGAAAAAAGCTATTGGCCGCCTGGTTCTTTATGTAAATCTTTATTTTAATGTAGCACTTTAAAACTTTATGTAACTTGAACAAGACATGCTCCAAGGAAGTTATTATATTGCTTCCACCAGTCTTTTGCATTATCTTATGATTAATATTTTAAAATCAAGCTGAATTAAATTTCTTCCCCCAGAAGATTCAGAGACAGTTTTGAATTATTTATGTGATGATGATGGTGTTGGTCTTGATGGCTAGATACTAATATCAAGCATTTAATTTTATACATTGTATATGCTAGAGAGGAGTCCTGATGGTGTACGGGGTAAGCATTGGGATGCTAATTACGAGGTTGCTGGTCCAAATCCACCAGCTGACTGGCAGAAGGAGGAAGCAGTCTGTTCCACAATGATTTACAGCCTCAAAAACTCTGTAAGGAAGTTCTACCCTGCCCTACAGGATCACTATGAGTTCAAATTTGCTCAGTTACAGCAGGTACATGGTAGATGCTATCCAATGCATTTTATACAGGTAATTTCATTTGTGCCCCAAACCAATTACTTCTATATTCAAATAAATAATTCAAATATTTATTCACATTTACTGATGCTAAAGCTAAAATATGTTACTTACTCTGAAATTTAGGTTCACATATGTAAAAATGAAGGGCTAGGATTCAAATCTAGTTTTGAGTCCACAATTCCTTTGCTTAACCATCGTTTAATATAATTACTCAACATAACCACCTTAACAGATAGTATGCAACTTTATGTTAAAGGTAATAGCTTAGTGTATTATTTCTACTGTTGATCTTAGTGGTGTTCAATGTTGCTGTTATTGTTAGGTACCACTGGTTGGTTTAGACTCATAGTAACCCTTTGTATAACAGAAGGAAACACTACCTGGTCCTGAGCCATCCTCACAATCATTAGGTTAGAGCCTATTGTTGACGGCCCGGTGTCAGTCCCTCTCATTGAGGGTTAGGGTTAGGGTTAGGGTCCTCCTCTTTCTGTGGACCTTCTGCTTTCCCAAGCATGTCCTTTGCCAGGGACTGGTCACTTGTGATCATAGTACATAGTGCTTGAGACCAAGTCTCATCATCCTCTTTTCTAAGGAGCGTTCTGGTTGTACTTTCTCCTAGATAGATTTTTTTCATTTTGGTGTTCCATGGTATTTTCTTTCTTTCTTTCTTTTAAACTGTTTTATTGGCACTTCATCTACATGTCATACAATTCAATCGTTTAATCACATGACGAAGAGTTGTACAATCATCACCACAAGCAATTCTAGAATATTTTCATCTTTATACTCATTGTTTTTCACGTATTTTTTTAAATTATAAAAATATACGCAACAAAAAATTCTCCAGTTCAACAACTTCCATGTATGTAGTTTCATGCCATTGTGTATACTCTTCGTGTTGTACAACCATTATGATAACTTTTCCACATTTTATTCCACCACCATTAACACAAACTCAATGCCCCCTAAGCAAAAATTCTTCCTCCGTCACCCATGGTAACCATTCGTCAAGTTTGGTTTCTTTTTCCAATATTTGTCAACACCATACCTCTAACACATCAGCTCTTCTCCAGTCTCCATATCCACTGTCCAGTTTTACATACAACTGAGGCTACGGAAAATACCAGTTTGGGTTATGAGTAAATGACACCTTTGCTCTTCACAAAGGTCTTGTACAGCAGATTTCCGAGGTGCAATACAGAAAATTTTAGGGTAACTATATAGAAGGAAAACATTGAATTGCATTTGTAACATTATTTAATTTAATAGATAATGTCCTAGACAAGGTATCAACTACCCCTGCACAAGTAGATACAAATCAGGAAATCTTCAAATGTTCTTAGAATTATGTAACATTTTTCATCTTGTTCTTCAATAACACCAATGTTTTATTCTATCAGAAAACAGAGTAATACGGTTAAACAAACATTCAGATATTCCAGTTAGTATGTTTTGTTTTCTAGACTTGATCATTTAGATGAAGTTTTCATAGGAAGTATTGGGTAATCATATTTAGGAGAAATTACCATATCATATGTGTTGTTTCTTTTTTGAGCCTTTTCCATCTTTCCAGGCAAAAACTCAGTAAACTCACGCTTTGAATCTTTATTATTTACTCTTTCATGTTAACTTTCATTGTGACATAATATTTTATCTCTCTAATAACAGTTAAATAAGCTCCTAATGAGGTCGCACCTCATCTTGGAATTGGTCCTGTGTTCATCTTTGCCTGTAGAAACAGAAGAGAGGGATTTTAAAATTATATGGTAGCTCTTTACTTACCATTCCAACTCCATCTCACTTCTCCAACCCTCCTTTCTCAGTTTACGCCATTTTCTTAATCTTGTTGTTTTTATCCATTTTATATATGAACTGCTGTACGCCACCCCAAATCTCTGCTAGAATGATCACGGTTAGACCTGCCCCTTTAAAATCACAACAAGGACATCTATGCAGTGTTTTCTAGAACCCTTTATTTCCACATCTTCCCTGAGCATAATCTTCACTACCATAGGCCTGGGTGAACATCCCTGTATAAAGGCAAAGAAAGTTGGGAGTATTTTATCAATGAACGTACATTGAGAAGTTCAAAGTGCTTTTCAAGATGGTTCGTATATCTCTGTGTGTATTTGATGCTAAGTTTCTAAGGTTCCGTGTTTAGTGAGAGAGCAGAAGCCTGCGACTTCCCAGCATCAAGGCCCCTGGAGTGTTTTTAGCTTTGTAGCAACCTGCTCAACTCTTGAACCCTGTTTTGAGCAATGGACGGTAACTGAATGAATGGAGCTCTAGTGGTTTGTAAAGGCAAATGGGAAAGTGGTGCTTTGTAATTTCTACACATGGGAGGAATGTGACTGGATGATGATGAAAGGCACTTGTTTGTGAGTCTCTCCCTGGGAGAACAAATTTATTCATATCTCGTTCCAAAATAAATTGATGAGGTTTACTTTTTAATGACACTTTTTTAAAGAAAACGCAATTCCCACTCTTTACCTTCATAAATGTGATGTAGGACTACCTTTGGTCCCACGGAGTGCTGCTGGACTTTGTCTTGTCACCCCTTTTCTCTGACAAAGAAGAGCTAAGGATCAGCTGAGCTGTTTTTACTTTGCAGTGTGGAAACAATCAACGACGGAAACTTCCATATTGTGGAACTGCTTGCCCTGGATCAGAGTCTCTCCCTCTCCGTGGATGGAGGGAGCCCCAAAATCATCACCAACTTGTCAAAGCAGTCCACTCTGAATTTTGACTCCCCACTCTATGTAGGAGGTAAGATCTCTTTTTGATTCCAGTGGGTCCTCAGCCCTCTGATTCTCATCAATGACCAATTCTGAAGATGTTGGTCCCTGGTCCTATGGCCATTAACCTATAGTAATCAACCATTGTCTTCAAAGGGATGATAGATCCAGGGTACAGTTTAGCACTGATGAAACACCTAACTATCTTTAATATTTCCTTCCCTAACTATTATAGTCTTAGTTTTACCACACTAATCTTGTCAGACCTGTGTATGTTCATTTGGATAATTAAGATGCTTTGATGCATGAAATCCAAGATAGATAAACCCTTCAGAAATCGTACTGGGAGTAATGATTCCCTGAGGGTACAGGAAGAGAAGTGGGGAAGTGGGGGAAGTTGGGAACCAAGAGTAATGATGACTGTATATCCCCACTCGAGAGGTACGCATAACAGAATTGTAGGTGACGGATACATCGGATGGTGTAAGATATGGCAAAATATAATAATTATAATATATAATATAGTAAAGGTTCCTGGAAGTAGGGTGTGAAAGGAGGGTATTAAGGGGTGCTGTTATCAAAGAGTTCAAGAAGAAAGAATATGTTTCGAAAATGATGGTGGCAGAAATTGTACAATTATGCTTGATCTAATTGAATTTTGGCTTGTTACAATATCTGTAAGAGCTCCAAATAAAATGATCTTTAAAAAGTAGAATCTTAGGTGGGCTTTAGGAGACCATTACTATAATCTGAGCAGTGAGTCCATCTAAATGTGTGGTTGGAGTAGAGGAGGACGTCCACAATCTTTGTGCGACTATTATATGGTAGATGATTTGCAAATCTTATCATTTAATCTCATTCTTGGATCCAGTCTATGGAAAGAGAAGGTTTGTTAGGAGTCACATCTGACTGTTAAGAAAATGATGTAACAAGTCTGATACAAACTGAGGAGTACATGACCCACCCCTCCTCTCCTAAGGTGACAGATAAAACTGAGCTCTTGTCAAATGTTACCCTACTGGAATGATTACACTGCCAGGGGCTAACTCATGTATGCAGTAGACTAACCTTCCAAGAAACTGAGTGAATGAACTGATTAATGTGCAAAATAGCTCATAACAGAGTTGTTCCTGAGGCCTTAAAATGAATGAATGGAAGAGTTGCAAAGGTAAGTAAATGGTTGGAACCATTGAATGACTGGAAATAAATTAGACACAAGAGTCACTAGGTGAGAAACAGAAGCGTGAGCAAAATTCAGTTGGAGTCCAAAGGAGGGAGCCACAAAGAAGGGAGAGCTCACATGCTAGCCTTTATCTAGAGGAAAGAGTGAGGGAAAAAGAAGTCAGAAATCAAATCCAAAGGACCTGGAAAGCAGCCTCCCATTGACTGGAGTTCTAGTAAATGCAATTAGATGAAAATAATTGAACTGAATGGCAAACATAAACTCATTTTAAAAATAAACAAACACTGCTGTAGACAGACAAGTCATTATAACAGAAACCTTCATTGAGACAGATTGTTGAGTGAAGTTTACATTATTCCCTTCGAAATAACATTGGTTAGGCTGGCTTTTCCAGAGAAGCAAAATTCAGTCACACACACACACACACACACACATATTTATATATAATTTATATCTATAAATAAATATTTTTTCCTTAAGTGTGATCAAGCAAATGGCTCACACAGTTTGTAGAAGCAGGCAAGTTCAATCTGGTTCAAGGCTGTCTGTCAGATGTTCAGCTGGAAGCATTTTCCTGACTTAGGGAGCTACCTGGGATGGGGATCCAGGAAGCAGGAGGATGAACCAGGAAGCAGGCTGATGGATACTGAATCAAATGAATCCAAGTAAGGAGGCAACAGGGCAGACTGCCAGTCCAAGTCCCAAGCCAGATACAGGATCCAGGCCAGCAGAAAGAAGGAAAGGGAGTTTTCCATATTATCCACCCCCAAGGAAACCATCAGGTTGTGACCTGAGTAAGGAGTTAAACTCAACCCTAACGTTCCCACAACTGCGGCTGCTCAAGGCAGATTCATTTGCATTATGTTAGGTTATTTAATGGCCGAGGGATTCTGGCCCAGGCAACTTGACGCAAAACCTGTCACAGTTAACTCAGCCCTTCAGAGCCTTCCCTCCCTGATGCATGTTTGAATTGTCCTGAAAATTCAGAGTACTTTAAAAATGATAATAATTTTCAACAGTAGATAATTTTAACACTTTCATGGGGCTTTGGTTGGAGGGAGCAGTTAAGAGTCTTGAGTTCATTTGGGTAAATATTTATTGAGCACATAACTCTCTTGGGGATTCTTTGAATGGAAATCTAGGTGGGTTTGGTTTACCTGTGCTGAGAAATTAGTTCATGGATACATGAAATATACACGTATTGGAGGGAGGTTCCCATTCGGTTCCATTCTGTTTCCAGATACGTCTGCAAATAACTCTAATTGCAGCGTAAAAATCTATTTCCTCCTAGTTAGTCACATCTATGAGTGTCATTAAGAAAAGGAAAACAAGCCTTCCTTACACCCAAGTATAAAGACAACCTTTGATGCTTTGGGTGGGGAGAAGAAGTAAGTCCCACGTGTACCGTATATACTTGTGTATAAGCCGAGTCTTTCAGCCCATTTTACATGCAGTTTTTGTAGTAAAATTAGGTGCCTCGGCTGATAGTTGGGTCGGCTTATACTCTACAATTTGAGAACAAAGATAGTATTTTTACTGAGCACATACTGTGTGCCAAACACAGCCCTGCTTTTTAACTTTATTGCTCAGGGAACTTTGAGAAGTAGCATACTGTTCTCTATTTTATAGGCCCTGGGGACCAGCCTCAGAAATTTTATATAATGAGCCCAAGGGCCCAAAGCTATTAAGTGGCCGACACTCACTTGAGTCCAGATAAGTCTCACTCTGAAGCTGTCGGCACTGCCACCTACTGCACAGCAGAGTCGTGGAAAGGAAAGAGATCTAGAGTTCTGTGCACTTTTCCGTTTGTTAATGCATGGCCTTATCTTTTACTTAATTTTATTATCTTTTCATTTGAAACCACTTTATTTCTTATAAAGCTAATTTAGTTATGATGAGAAAGTGGTGGTGGGTGGCAGGGAGGAAGGGAAGGTGAAGGAAGAAAAGAGATGAAACAAGCAGAGACAGCAGAGAAAGATACACAACTGCACATTGTTGTTGTGTGCCTTCGGATTGGGTCCAACCCATAGCAATCCTCCCCAACCCCACCTGGTCCTACTCCAGCCTCACAATCGTTCTTATGGTGGAGCCCATTGTTGCAGCCACCGTGTCAACCCGTCTCGTTGAGGCCTTCCTCTTTTCCTGCGCATGATGTCCTTCTCCAGGGACTGGTCTCTCCTGACAATATGTCCAAAGTGTGTAAAATAAAGTCTCTCCATTCTTGCCTCTAAGGAGTACTGACTTCTTCCAGGGCAGATTGGTTTGTCCTCTTGGCAGATCATGGTACTTTCAATATTCTACACCCTACATACACATGGGAATATGGAAATAATCGGTTTGAAACATTTTTCAAGAGAGGGAGGGGGGGGGAAAGGTTTTAAATCCCAAAGCCAAGAGTACTAGTTTCTCGCAGGCCTGGGCAAAATGGAGGCATCCCTTCAGTCCCTGAATGATGCCAAGTCCACACAGCTGTGCAAAAGAGAACAGGCTGTGCCGCTTCCTTCTGTCTCCGAGTTCTTGTCCGAGGGTAATACTGGGTGACCAAGAAGAGGAAATCCCAAGATTGCTGCTCTGTATCGTAAGGGCCTGACAGCCTGAACCAAAGCCAAGTTCAAAATCGGGCACCTCCCCCTGGAGGACAACAGGAGGTGCTGCCTCCTGGGCTAGAGACCCCCCTACTTGCAGCAGCGTTCTCAGGCAAAAGAAAAGGCCACTCAACTTAGCCTTGGGATACCAACTACCCATGGCAGAAACTTCACTTGCTAGACAGTACATTCAGCCCTTACCCTGTCATGTGCCACAGTGCGTTTGCTGTTGTGAGTATTAGCTAGTATTTGATCAACCCCATCTCATGATAGCCCCAGGAACACTGGGAAGAAGGTGGCCTGGGCCTACACCATCCCGGTGAAGGGCTGTTGGCTGGACCATGTGAGCCTTGGCTTTTCATTGACTCATGTTCTAGGCCAGAGGTTCCCAACCTGTGGGTTGCAGTCCCTTTGGGGTTGAATGACCCTTTCACAGGGGTTGCCCAATTCATAACAGTAGCAAAATTAGAGTGATGAAGTAGCAATATAAATCAATTTATGGGTGGGGGGGTCACCACCACGTGAGGATCTGTATTAAAGGGTCACGGCATCAGGAAAGTTGAGAACCACTGCTCTAGGCCTTTCCCCCCAGGCCACTTATTATCTCTCACTCACATCGAGTGGATGCTGACTCTTTGTGATGCTCTCGGGCCTGGCCGAATGGTACTCGTGGGTTTTCAAGACTGCTACTCTTCACAGGAGGAGAACGCCTCGTCTTTCTCCCTCTTTATTACCTTGTGGGGGAAAGACCTGCCCACCCCTGGCTGTGTTGCAAAGCCTCTGCTCAGTGTTGTCTTCCTGTAAGACCTCAGTCCTACTGGTGGGTCCCATTGCTGCTGTTGTTGCTGTTTTAAAATTGATAGCTTTGCGCAAAACTGAACACGATTCAATAAGTCATCTGCTGATTGGCTTCCAGCTCAGGACTTTGGCATGGAGGAACCTCTCTGTTTAAAAGTCACGGACAACTTGAGTTTATCCATTAAAACTGAATTCCTTAGCCAGCCCTGGGTCAAGTACCATATATACTCGAGTAAAAGCTGACCCGAATATCAGCCAAGGCACCTACTTTTACCCCCAAAACTGCATAAAAAATGTGCTAAAAAACTCGAGTATAGACGGTACGTGAAAACACTGGCAGAGATGATGAAATCCTGTTTAACTCATGGTAGGAGGTTTCCCTTACAAATGACTGTGCTCAAAAGCTGCACCTTTTCTCACAGTCGGCTTTGTGGAATGAAAGGAGCACAGGTCCTCATTGCTCAGTCCAGCTGGGAACGCAGCCAGCTGTCCTCAGCCTTGACGCGTGAGTGTCTGTGCACGGCGCCTCCATCAAGTTGAACTATTGAAATCGTTCAACCTGCAAGAAAGCCCCTAAACGTGCAGATACTGAAGTGCACAAATTCATGATGGATGGGTGTGATTATATTGGAAAACACCTCCCAGAGCAAAGCATTTCTCGTGATTCTTCTTCTCTGGAGAAAGGGGACTTTTCAGCCCTTTCACCCCAATCTGTGAAGTATCCCAATTGCCCAGGTCAGGCAGATAAGGGTTGAAGGTTTGTGTTCAGGGGACCTGAGTGCCAACGCACTTGGTAGATAGAAGATACGTCTTAGGGATAGCTCGGTGCCTCCTGTAATATGGTCATGGACCACGTGCATCTAGAAGACTTAAGCTGCAATTTCTAGGTTTCTAGGCCCCGTGCCTCAACTAAGGGATCAGACATGCTGGGTGAGATGAGGTCTTAGTTCGCTGGACCTGCTGCAACAGAAATACCTCAATGGGAGTGGGTTGAACAAACTAAAATGTACATCATTACACTTTTGGACGCTAGAAGCCCAGGTGCCAGCTCCAGAGGAAGGCTCACTTGAGTCTCTTTTGACTCCAGTGAGGAGGCCCTTTTCAGCTTTTGTTTCTTGGTTCCCTGGAGGTCTCCTGTGGCATTCCCCCCCCCTACCCCCATAGGAATACTGCCTCACTAAACACACAACACATTGCACTGAGCAAATCTGCTCTACAAGATGCTACCTTCTGGACTAGAATGCATCTGACACCCAAGCCAGGGGATTTCCAGTCGCCCCATATGCATGTGAAAGCTGGGCATTGACTAGGGAAGAGAAAGAAGACTGCGTGCATTTGAATCACTATCAGTGGACGATGAATATGGAAAGGATGCTGAGCTGCCAAGAGCACACACAGACCTGCCTGGAGTCCTGTACAGAATGCTCCTCGGAAATGAGGATGGCAAGACCCACATCCTTAGAACGTGTTGCCAGAAGAGACCAGTGTTTGGAAAAGGACATCATGCTTGGTAAAGCAGAGGGGCAGCGAAAAAGAGGATGCCTGTGATGAGACAGACTGACCCAGAGGCTACCGTGAGGGACTCCAGTGTAGCAACAGCTGTGAGGATGGTGCGGGACCCTTTATTCTGTGGTATACAGAGTCGCTGTGCGTCACAACCAACTCAGTGGCACCTAACAACACAACAACACCCCCCCGCCCCCCCCCAAAAAAAAACCATTCTCCAAGGGGATTAGAACCACAGGTATACAGGGTTAGGATTCACAACCCTTATTTGTGGAGGAAACAGTTCAATCTGTACCAGGGGCAGTGAGCCTGGGAAGCCGCCCTGTGAACGCACACTGCTGGTAGTCCTTCCATATGAAAAAGCACCGAACAGCCACTCTATTCCAGCTGCCCATCCTATACAGGAGAAAAGGAAGCCCCAAGAGATGAAAGAACTTGGAGAAGTGTGCACAGTGCCTGCAGAGCAGACATCTGACCTCGGATTTGCCTCTTATTTCATTAGGGTTTGTACAACTAGGTGTCTACCTGGGGTGCCTGCTAGGACTTCAGTGGCTCTGCTATGAATGAGAAAGGAAGCAATGGTTCAGTGCAGGGTCCAGATAGGACGGTGGGTCTTGTTCTTTAGGACCAACCTAGCCCCTTAGATTGGGGAAAGATGGAGCTTTTTCCTCTCACAAAGAGTTACAATGTCAGAAACCCCCAGGGGCAGTTGGCAGTTCTACCCTGTCCCATGAGTGTACCAGGAGTCTGCATCGACTCGATGACAGTGATTGGTTTTTTCAACCCTTTGCAGGCGTCCTCAAACTTTTTCACCAGGGGCCAGTTCACTGTCCCTCAGACCCGTTGGAGGGCCGGACTATAGTTTTAAAAAAAAACTATGAACAAATTCCTATGCACACTGCACATGTCTTATTTTGAACTTAAAAACAAACGGGGCAACAACACCCGGCGGACCGGATAAATGTCCTCAGCGGGCCGCATGTGGCCCCCTGCTTGAGAGAGGAGGCCCTGGGTCTTCCCAGCCTAGAAGCTACAGCCAGTACCTCAGACTCCAAGCGAGGTGGACAGAGGACTGGGGGCAGGTCCTCCCCTCACCGCTTGGTGACCTGGACAGTTGCCTCACATCAGACCCCTTCCAGGCTCTATTTCAGGTCCTGGCTTAGCCCAGGGAAAAATTCCTCAGTTTTGCCAAAGACAGGGTTACCAGATGACTGTCGTAGGTGGAATGCATTTACAAAGAGATTGCAAAACTCTGTTTGGGGAACAAATTTTTCTTTCTAGTCCTGATTTCTTGGAAGAGGAAGGTTTCGCTCTCAATGAGGAAGACTTTTCAAAGGGAGTGAATGAGGTGCTAGGCAGAGAGGCAGCAGGGGCATGATCTTCAGATATGCACATCCATCAGTGAGCTCGGGATATTGCCCGGGGTGGGTGGGTAGGATAGGGACCCACTCTCTTGTCCTCTGTGAACAGGGAAGGAGGAGGCTTAGCTCAGCCAACTCATGCTAACCCTGATTTTTTGGGCGACACTGAGCCTGCCCTCCCAGGGTGCTAGGGCTTTCTTTCTTTCGAGCCAAAGTAAACGTGTTTTAAAAACTCATTGCCTTGTGGGCTTCCCAGACTGCAAACCTTTATGGCAGCAGAAGGCCTCATCAACTTGTGGTGTCAAATTGATAACCACGTGCTTCTCAGACCAAAACATAACCCGCTACACTACCAGCGCTCCTCTCTGCAGACTGACGATACATGGCGCTCTGGCTTTTAGGGTGTGTCTCCAGTTTGGGGGACAGAGTGGAGGGCAACCCCATGTTTAAGTCATAAACTCTTCAATGGGTGCAGCCTTAGGTTGCGAACATCAAGTGGGGAGTTCAAACCCACCAGTCCCTCTTCAGCAGAAATGAGGCTGACTGCTCCCATAAAGATTGACAGTCTTGGAAACCGTACATATGACCTCTATAAATTGGAATCAACTCAATGGTGATGGATTTGGTTTTATGGAGTCTAGCAAGGTTTGGATATTTGTGGTTTTGAGTCAGGTTTTGTTTCAAAAACAGATCTGGTTTCAAGCAAATGAAGATCGATTCTCAATGAACTAGGTTGTTTGTTCTAGATGCTCATTAGAATTGCCTGGAGCATTCTCAAAACCAAACCGAACTGAATGCATCATCTCTTTCCTGATCCACGCTTCCCTCTCTCCCCCTTCTCAGATATTTCGATGAAGTAGGTCTAGGTTCAGGTCCCAAACTATGGGCTGTGTTTCAAAGGCCACCATGCTATTCTAATGTACAGTCAGATGGAGAACCACTAGACCGGGCTCTGTGGTTGTCTGTAAGCGCCCTCGAGTGAATTCCCACCCCTGGCAACCCTGAGCACCATAGCGTGAAGCACCGTCCTCTCCTCTCAGTTGTTATTGTCAAGGTCATTGTTGCAGCCACTGTGTCAACGTCTTCCTCTTTCGCTGATCTTCTACTTTATCAAGCGTGGCATCCTTCTCCAGGCACTGGTCCCGGAGATAACCTGGCCAAAGATACTTGAGGCAAATTCTCACCATTCTTGCCTCTCTGGAGCGTTCTGGCTGTCCTTCATCCAAGGCAGAGTTGTTTGGTCTTCTGACATCCCATGGGACTTCCGATGCCCTGTGCCAGCCTCATCATTCAAAATGGATCCATCTTCTGAGATCCACCTGCCTTATTCACTCTGCAGCTGTCCCACGAACAGGAGATGATGGCATATCCTATGGCTTGGGCCAGGCACACCCTGGTGTGCCAAGTGACATCTTTGCTTTGTAACTCTGGCAGCAGGCCTTTCCAGTGCAACGTCTCATCTCTTGGTTGCCTCCAATGCTGAAAGGCCAGGATCATGAGACCTGGTATCCCCAAAAGTAGAGTCACAATGCCACTTGACTGGCAGAAAGCCCTGGGTAGCAGTTGGCTGAGGAGCAACTCTAGAGACCCTGACCTCTGACCCTGTCTTCCTCCACAGGCATGCCGGGAAAGAACAACGTGGCAGCTGCCCTGCGCCAGGCCCCCGGGCAGAATGGCACCAGCTTCCACGGATGCATCCGCAACCTGTACATCAACAGTGAGCTTCAGGACTTCCGGAAGGTGCCCATGCAGACTGGCATCCTCCCTGGATGTGAGCCTTGCCACAAGAAAGTGTGTGCCCATGGCACCTGCCAGCCCAGCAGCCAGGCAGGCTTCTCCTGCGAGTGCGAGGAAGGATGGATGGGACCCCTGTGTGACCAGAGGACCAATGACCCCTGTCTGGGAAACAAGTATGTCTGGCTCGTGGATAGTTAAGCGTGGATAGTTAAGCGTACATACACACAACACCCAAAGGAAAGGAAGACGTCGCCATGAGCGCCAGGCCCCCCAGAATCAGCGAGCCATGTTTGTACAGCAGAACCGAACACCAGCCAGTCCTGGGGCCCACTGCTATAGACTTGTGTTAGTGAGCAGGATCATCGATAGAATTGCTAAGGGAAAACCCCATTATCTTTTCATTCCACTTTTCCACCACCCTTTGGAGCCCTCATGTATACTACCGTCGTAGCCCGTTCAGCACTTTGAAACAGGCACTTCCAGAGTCATTGGCTACGTTCAGCACTTTGAGCCAGCTTTGCCCTCATCCTAGCAGGTCGTTAGCAGTTGTCCTCGTCAGTTCCAGCTTGGGGTGACCCATCTGATGCAGAGGAAACGTGTAGCCATGGGGTTCTCACGGCTGTGACATTTAAGGAGCAGGTCACCTGAGCTCATTCCCAAGTTCCCTCCAGGTGACTTGCAACCCCTGCCAGCCTTTCAGTGAGAAGTGCAGCTCTTAGCATTTTGTACCTACTGGAAGCCTCCTTCCTGGCATCCATGTGGGTTTCTGCACATTTCCCCACGTGTTATAAGCGGGGTCGTGTAGCACTTGTCTTTGTGACTGATTGATTTCACTCAGCACACTGCTTTCAAGGTTCATCCATGCCGTGACGTGTCTCAGGACTTCCTTTTGCTTTCTTGACTGAGCAGCATTTAATTGCAGGAGCCCTGGTGGGATTGTGTTTACACACTGGGCTATCTATTTCCCTAAAGAGTTACAGTCTTAGATACTCACAGGGGCAGTTCTACCCTGTCCCCCGAGGTGGCTATGAGTTGGAATTAACTTGATGGCGTTGAGTTTGAACATTCACCTGCATGCATGTCCCCTATCTTGTTTCGCCATTCAGCCGTTGCTAGATCTCTAGATTGTTTCCACCTTTTGACTCTCCTGACTAGGACTGCAGTTCACATTGCTGGAGCAGCCCCATCCATTCTTCTCTTCTCCACCATTCTCATGTGTCTCCATTCCTTTGATTTCTCTTCTGCCAGGTGTGTCCACGGGACCTGCCTGCCCATCAATGCATTCTCCTACAGCTGTAAGTGCCTGGAGGGCCATGGGGGCATCCTCTGTGACGAAGAGGAAGATCTTTTTAACCCCTGCCAAGCCATCAAGTGTAAGCACGGGAAATGCAGGCTCTCAGGACTCGGGCAGCCCTACTGTGAATGCAGCAGCGGATACACTGGGGACAGCTGTGACCGGGGTGAGTTAGCCCAGCTGGGCTCCTCCATCTCTGGGGAAAGCAGGAGTGGCTACCCTTGTTGAAAGGTGACAGAGAGCAGAGAGATGGGAAAATACCAGGTTTTTGCAATTTTTGCGGGGCTGCTGTTGATTTATTTTCAAGTATTAGCAAGGTCCAAGCTAAAAGCAAAAACAAAACCAGAAAAACACACAAAAGAAACAGACCCTTTCTCATCACGTTGACCCCATACCTGCTTACAGAAACCCAGTAAGGGACAGCGTTGAATTGGGCTTGGCTGCCATCTTTGCTGAAGCAGACCACTGGGCTTTCTGCTGGGTGGATTTGGTGACTGAGCACACACTAGGCACCCTCCAAGGGACCGCCTTTAAAAAACATGCTATTGTTGTTAGATACCTTTGAGTTGGTTCCAATTTATAGAGATTCATGTACAATAGAATGGAACTCTACCCCATCCTATACCTTCTTCACATTCTCCCAATGTTTGAGCCCGTTGCGGTAGTCACCTACTGGGTCAACCCATCTCCTTGAAGATCTGCCTCTTCTTCACTGACCCTTTAACCAGCATGGTGTCTTTCTCTAAGGACTGCTCCTTCGTGATAGCATGCCCAAAGCCTCACCATCCTTGCTTTCAAAGAGCATCCTGGCAGACTTTCTTTCAATATAGACCATATGTTAATAGATCATGTGAACATATTAATGTTCTCTGCCACACACTAATCCACCTGCATCAATTCTTCTTCGGTCTTCCTTATTCACTGTCCAATTTTCACATGACTGAAAACACGGAGACTTGAGTCACATGCACTCTTAGTCCTCAAAGGAAAATCCAAGCTTTTCAGCACTTTAAAGAGGTTCTTTGGTCTCTTGACTGCTGGTTCCATGAACCTTGATTGTGGATCCCAGTAAGAAAACCCTTGAGGTTACCTATCCGTCCAGTTGCAAGCATTTTGGTTTTCTTTACATTGTGTTGTAATCCGTACTGCAAAGGTTGATCTTCATTAGCAAGGGCTGCAAGTCCTCCTCGCTTTCTTTTCTTTTCTTTTTTTAAAAATATTTTTCCTCCTCATTTCAACAAGCAAATTTGTGTCATGTGCTCATGACAGGTTGTTAATAAGCCTCCCTCCAAACTTGCTGCCACCTTCTCCTTCATGATTTTCTCAGTCTACAGGTTAAATAAGAATGGTCACAGAAGACAGCTCTGATGCACACGTTTCCTGATTTTAAACCATGCAGCCATGCAGTATTCCCCCTTTCCACTCACACAACTGCCCCTTGATCCATGTACAAGTTCCTCATGGGCACAAACAAGTGTGCTCATTCTTCTCAAAGTTGTCCATAGTTTGTTATGATCCACACTGTCGAATACCTTGGCATAGTCAATAAAATGCAAGTAAATATCTTGTTGGTAGGCTCTGCTTTGAGCCAAGATCCATCTGACATCAGCAATGCTATTCCTTATTCCACATCCTCTTCTGAATCCACCCTGAACCTCTGGCAGCTCCCTGTCAATGTACTGCCACAATTGTTTTTGGATGATGTCCAGTTAAGCTTTATTTGCATGTGATTATCAATGATAGTATTCTATTATTTGAGCATTCTGTGGGTCATCTTTATTTACAGTAGGTACAAATATGTATCTCTTCCAATCAGTTGGACATACATACAACTATGTATGTCTTCCAAATTTCCTGGCATAGATGAGTGAATGCTTCCAGTGCTTCATCACCTTATTGAAACATTTCAATTGATATTCCTTGAATTCCTGCAGCCTTTGTTTTTGACTAAGGCTTTCAGTTCAGCTTGAACATTTTCCTTGGGCACCATTGGTTCCTGATCATGTGCTACCTCCTGAAATGGTGGACTGTCAACTAGCTCTTGTTGGTACAGGGACTCTGTGTATTCTTTCCATCTTCTTTTGATGATTCCTCTATCATTCAATATTTTGGCCATAGAATCTTTCAATTTTGCAACTCAAGGCTTGAATTTTTTTTGAGTTCTTTCAGTTTAAAATATTGCTGTTTTCAGCCATTTCTTCTCACTTTGCATCATGACCCCTCTGTGCCTGCAGGCCCTGAAGTCTTTGAGCCTTCAGGCTGTACCCCATCTGCATTCTGACGATCACCTCTCCTTTGAGATGGCAGCCCTTCCTGCATCATATTTTGAGTGCCATTCCCCGTGAGGGGTTTGTCTTCTGGCACTGCCTCTGACAATGGTTGGCTTCTGTTCATAAGCGTTTCACTAACTGTTCTGAGGCTGTACACTGGGTTTTCAGTGGCTAATTCTTCTGAAGTGCACAACCTATTCTTTCCTCCTAGTTTCTTCTTGGTCCTGAAGCTCTGCTGAAACGACTTCTTTGGGGGCTCCATTTTCGGCTAAGTGAAACTTATATAAGCGGCCTATAAATAGAATGCTGTTGCCCTGACAAGAAAATTGGATTTCTAAATTGGTTCCTCTATTGCCAAAAAATACACATCTCTTGCTTTTACCCGACTGGCGGTTGGTTTTGTTTACAACAGGGAACCGTTTCGGGAGAGCGTGCCATTTCATTTATGAGACCTGCAATGTCATGTTCCATCACTCGTCTGCCGTTTTCAAAGACCCACAGGTTGTGCCGCCCTCTGATCAGGGGCGATGCAAGCTCAATATTAAAAAGAGCAGCTCAGAGCAGGGAGGCCCAGGCAGCATCTTCCTGCATGAATTATGCGGCCGGGCCCTAGGTGCAGTGACTCGCAATGGCTCTGGCAACACTTTGTGCTTCATTGTTTTCTAGAAATCTCTTGTCGCGGGGAAAGGATAAGAGATTACTACCAAAAGCAGCAGGGCTACGCCGCTTGCCAAACCACCAAGAAGGTGTCTCGACTGGAATGCCGAGGGGGCTGCGCGGGCGGCCAGTGCTGTGCCCCTCTGCGGAGCAAGAGGCGGAAATACTCCTTTGAGTGCACGGACGGCTCTGCGTTTGTGGACGAGGTGGAGAAGGTGGTGAAGTGCGGCTGCGCCAGGTGCGCCTCCTAGGCCCCGCCAGGGCAGCTCAGGGGGCCTGGGCCACATCAGTGGTGTCCTTAGGGACCACGTGGGACACAGGACTGCTTCATGGTGGAAATATTTGAAATATATTGTAAAATACAGAACAGACTTATTTTTATGATGAGAATAAAGACCTTTTTTTCTGCATTTGGGAAAAAAAAAAAAAAGAAATATTAAAAAATAAAATGCTTGAACTGAAGCTTCCCCGTACGCTGCAGAAGGGCAAAGCTCTAAGCGGCGTCGCTCACGTTGGCCTTGGGCATGAACGTGCTGCAGACAAACAGAAGGGCAGCAGGACTCTCGTTGTCTGGAGGGGAAATAGCCCCAAGTAGGAAACCCGAGGGTCGGCCGTCACATCGATGCAGCTCCGTGGTTCTCCGAGGACCGCCCGAACGAACCCGTGTCGGCAAGCGAACAGCGACACCCAACTCGAGGAGGAGCGCGTTGTGTGAAATCGAAAGTTCCCTGAAGGTTCCGGGTTCCATTCCCAAGTGGGAATGTGGGTGCAGAAAAATCCATTCGACCTCCCTTCAAAATGTCAGCATGTTAGCAGAAGCACATAAAAGTGTTTGTCTACCACTTTCCAGTATTAATTTTTTTGTAATATAAATAAATGATAAAGGAGATGATAAAGAACCAATAGATTATGGAGAAATAAATTTAGTAATAATATGATTTTTTTTCGTTTCTATGAATTCTAAACAGCCCTATGACAGTATTCTGTGTCCAGGAGAAATATTTATTGTATCGAAAGTCCACTGTCCTTAACATTTTAGACCATCTTTTTGCTCTTTCTCGATGCTTTAATATATATTAATTTATAATTGTCCTGATATTTTTTTTGTATATTTTTCCAACTTATAAAGCAAAAATCAGGATTTTTCTGTTTTATTTTGTTTGGGCAATAGTACTAACATGGGGTGTTATCTTGGTTAAATATGTGTTGATTTGGTTGTTTACCTTGACATCTGACCACTGGTTTGGTTGGCCCACCGGCTTCTTCCAGAACCCCTGCAAGGAGAGTTTGTAAAGTCCAGGAGAGGAAAACACCAAGCTATGGGCACCTTGCTATTTGTACAGGAAGAAATGGACACCGGCCTACCCTCCACCCTCCACCCCCAGCAATCTGTGCTCACAGAAAAGAAATGGTGTGTAGCAATCAATAGTAGAAAGTAGACCTTTGACAAATTAATATTGTCTTGAATGTTTTGGCCCTTTGGGGGAGACAGGGGGTGGGGGAGGGTTTGGGAAGAGCAAAAGCTGTAATGTCAAGAACTGTGATAACTTTTTTTTCCCAAACAATAAAACTCCTTTATTACCTTCCTGTCCCCATGTTAACATGTTTGCTGCTACAATTCCAGTGGAGAATGGAGATGCTTTCTAATGGACTTTGCTCTTTTCTCATGAAAAATCCCAGAATGCCCTGTAAAGATGCAGATGTTTCTTTCCAGCAACCTTTTTTCTCTTTTTTTAAACAAAGAAAATTAGAAGTCCATGTATGATTCAGTGTGCTCTGTCGTTATCCAGACTAATATCAGTTACACTACTGATGTTTATAAATTAAACAGATATTTACTTCATTAACAGCTTGGTGGTTTCCTTAGACACTGCCCCTTATTTAGAGCCTCCCCCACCCTTTAACCATTGTTTAACCAAAGTGATAAAAGGGGTGGGGGGGACCTTTACTTTTCTGTTGCTAGGAAAGGATTTGAGGTTAGCATTGTTACATCTGGGGATGCTGGAATGAACTGATGGCAGATATAAATAAAAGAACACTTTTTGCTTTAATTTTTTTATAGAAGGTTATGAGGAAACACCTAACTAAACCACACACAGCGGTTTTGTTTTGTGTCCTTGGTGGCTTGTTCTCTCAAGTTAGACAGAGGCAAAGCAGCAAAAGGCAAGAGTCAGTTTACACACACACACAAACACACACACACACACACACTAACCAAACCCCTCACACTCACTACCACCATGTCAGCCCCACTCACAGGGACCCAACAGGACAGAGTCACACTTCCCCGGTGCGGTTAGAGACGATCCTCCTTGACCAGAGTGGAAAGCCTTGCCTTTTCCCAAAGGAGCAACTGATCATTTTGAACTGCTGACCTGGCAGTTAGCAGCCCCACTCATAACCCATGACCCCACGAGTGTGCCTGCATTTCTCCACAGGGACTCTCACATCAGGGTTATTCACTTCAGTATATATCCTCCAGAACAGGAAGTAATATTGGCCGTGTTTTGTCCTTGTATTAGTCTGGGTAGAATAGAGAAACAAACACATGGTCACACATATGTAGATAAGGGAGAGGTTTCTATACTAGAGGAATTGAACATTGAGTAAACATCCCAACCCAGTCCAGTCCAAGCCATACGTCTGATATTAGCCCATATGTTTGATACCAATCTATAAAGTCCTCTTCAGACCCATGAAACACATGCAATTAAGCCAAATGCAGGATGATCACAAGCCAGTGGGTAGAAAGTCTTTGGGTCCAGTGGCGTTGGAAGCATCTCAGCTCTGGCAGGGGTCTCTCTGTGACTTCTCAGGCTTCCAGGGTCTGATTTTGTCCATGTGGCTTGTCTTCTGCAATGTCTCCCAGAAAGTAGCAGAGAGAGAGAGGTGTCTTCTGCCTCCAAGGAGGAAGTACCAAATTTCCCAGAATTCTCAGGAGAAGGCCATGCCCACAGAAGTCTCATTGGCTATCTCCAGATTGACAGCCTGGACTCCACCCCTACACTCTTAATCCTTAAATTGACACCAGATTAGGTGACTACCACAGTCCTTATCTAGACTAATATCAATTAGTTATACTAGCTGCATGGAATATCACCATTCATCCATCATTTAAAATACCTTTGGTTTCCTGAAGTAAGTCACACCTATACACACATACTCAGTTTTTCGTACTTATCTGAAATGTCATCATTTTAATTATTGAAATCCATCCTTGTTGCTAGGTATCCAGTTCATTCTGCCTCACCATGACTCTATGTGCAACACAGCACTGCAGAGGATTTTCAGACATGAACTTCTGGGACCAGATGCCAGTCCTGTCTTCCAAAAGCATTCCTGGGTGTGTTTGAACCAGTAACTTTTAGCAGCATAGTCCAGCACTTACCCATTTGTGCCATCAGAGGACCCCCCCCTAAGACAAGCCTACGGGGTCATCAAGTCGTCAGGTTTAGCACAGGTGCACACAGTTCAATGGCAAAAGAGTTGGATTCCTCCTCTGACCGACGTACCTGTCAGTGTGCTGAGAGAGGCAGCAACTCAGTACCTAGTACTCCCTCCTGGTGGGGGGAGGTGGGGGAAGGTGCTAAGGCTTGAAGCCTTGTTCTACTCACGTATATCCTATTTCAACAACACAATGTTGTTAGTTGTCATCAAGATGAATCTAACTCATAGTGACTGCATAAAAATAAAACTCAGTGCCATCGAGTCAATGCTGGCTCAGAGCGACCCTATAAGACAGGGTAGAGCTGCCTCTGTGAGTTTTCAAGACTCTGACTATTAACAGGAATCCCTGTCTTTCTCCCATGGAGAGACTGGTGGTTTCAAACTGCTGATCTCATGGATGGCATCCCAACACGTCACAGCTCCACATACAACAGATTTAAACACTGCCCAGTCCTACACTCGCCTCACAATCATTGCTGTGTGAAAGCCTATTTTCACAGCCACAACACCAATCCATCTCAGTGAGGGGCTTCCTCCTCTTCAATGGCTTTACCAAATAGGATGCCCAATTCCAAGGACAATGAGTTCGAATACCATATACAGAGTAGTGAAGAAAAGTATCCACATCTCAGGTTCTAAGAACATCCTAGCTATACTTTCCAAATATAAATGTGTTCACTCCTCTGGAAATCACTGGTATAGTCTACATTCTTCGCCAAAACCAGAACATAAAGGTATCAATTCTTTGCTCATCCTAATTTATTGTTCCGTTCTCCCGTGCATACAAGAAAGATCATCAGAAATCCCACAGCTTGGGTGAGGTTCACCTTAGTCTTCCAAGTGACATCTTTGCTTTTTAACACTTGAAAGTTTTCCTCATGCATACTTTGATTTCTTAATTTGCTCCCATGGGCATTGATTGTGGATTCAAATAAGTGAAATCCTTGACGGCCATGCTTGCTCCGGTCATGATATTATGTATTGGCTCAGTTATGAGTGTTTTTGTGGATCTTCTGTGTAAGCATGGTGTGAGAGTAGCATCTGATCTCTTCTCACTTCACAAGAGGGAAGGGGAATCAAAATCCATATCAACACAAGACTGATTCTCTTGAAGCTGATGTTGGACATGCTGTCACCCTCCATCTTTCCTTGCCAGTTCTGATACCACTGTACTTCCCTCCGCACTCGACTTCTCTTCTGGATTCCATAATCCCTTATAAGGACTACAAAGAACTCAGAGACAATACTCATGGTTATGGAGTTTATAAAAGAAGTCGGCAAGCTGAAATTCAGGATGAGTAATGCTTTGGATACAGTTCTTCAGTCATAACAGCCTCTTCTTTGCTGTGCATACAGGCAAGCCTCTCTCTGGCCTAAGCCTTTCAACTATATGGCCCTTGGTCTCCGCCTTGCTCCAGTAAGTGTTACAAATCTCCTTCAATGCTGCTCACAAATACCCATTTTACTCCACCATAAGCCATAAGATTGAATATGCTAGGCTGTAGCTCCATGGATCAGCAAATCTAGCTCCCCAACTTAAGTGTTTGGAGGTGCCCCACTCTGCAAGCAAGACTTCTGCCAGAAGGTACTCTGTTTTAATCAATCTGTGGGCAAGAAAATTCACCACTGAGTCTTATACTCTTGCCACCACACCTCACCCACTCTTCTCGTGTCACCGCTCTGTCCCTGGGATCAAAGAAGTTTAGCACAAAGGAATCCCAGGGCTTCAAAAGACACACTCTAATCTTGGCCCTTTTTTGATGGTGGTGAGATTCCCCTAGTCCTACTCCTGAGATCGATCATCCTTTGTGCTACTCAGAAGGGCAAAGTGGACCAATCCCCAGGTTCTAGTTCCAAGGTTAATGACCACTCAAAATCTCATCTAATCCTTGCAGCATCTTCACCCACCTTCTAACCCAGATATATTTGGAAAAGAAGATCCCAGTCTGCATGGTCCTACCCAGTTGTTTGTTGGGACTTACAAAGACAATAGCTGGAAAAGCCAGACCAAATACTTACTGCACCACACTCAGTAAGTGCTTCGTATGTCAGGTTGTTAATGAGTGTGCCCCCAATTCTGATGCCACCTTCTCCTGCCATAGCCCAGCTTCTCACATTATTTGCACAGCATAAAACGGAATAAGTATGAAGGAAGAGTACAACCTTGGCTCACACTGTTCCTGATTTTAAAGCACATTCCTCGCCTCCTTTCAAAGGACTGCCTTTTGGTCTGTGTACAAGTTTCCCATGAGAACAGCTCAGTGTTCTGGAACTTCATTTCTTTTCAAGATTATTCATAATTTGGTACAATCCACAGAGTCTAGGAACAGCATAATGCTTCTCTATGAGCAGTTCACTAGAAGGGGGATCATGACTAGCTGTTCGTGGTAGGCGCCACCCAGCAGGCTGTGCACAGCAGGAGAAGCACTGCCTGGTCCTGGGCCATCCTCACAATTCTTCCTATGCGGGAGCCTATTAATTCAGCCATTGTGTCCCTCCATCTCCGCAAAGGCCTTCCTCTTTGTTCATTTTCCTTTCCCTTTACCAAGGATGATGTCCACACACCAAGAAAGCTCTCAATGAAACATTGACACAATAGCCACAGCAGTGCGCTCAGTGAACTCACCGATAAACTCGAAGATGGTGCAGGACAGGGCAGTGTTTTGTTGTTATCTACAGGTCATGGGGAGTTGGAGCCAGAGGATTAGCACCTAACAACAGCAGCAGCACTCCTCATTTACATCTAAATAATGTATATTGCGGGAGCCTGCTGGTGTCCTGGTTAATTGTTGGTCTATGAGCTGCATGGTTGGCAGTTCGAAACCACCAGCAGCCTAGTGAGGGGAAAGACTGGGCTTTCTACACCAGTTCACAGTCTCAGAAACCCACAGGGGTTTGCCATGAGTCAGCTTTGACTGGATGGCAGTGAGTATGGTCTGAGGTTGATGGATATTACAGGAGCCCCTCGCTGGTGCAGATGGTTGACCGCTTGTGTACTAAACCCATCGTTGACAGTTGAACTCACCTAGAGGTATCTAGCCTAGGGATCCATCTGCTTCCAAAAGATCAGCCTTTGAAACCCCTACGAACTGTGGTTTTCTCTGAAACTCCATGTGTCAGAATCAACTTGACAGCAGAGGTCTCCGTGTGTCAGCAGAGTTTACTCTAGATCAGCGGATCTCAACCTGTGGGTCGAGACCCCTTCAGGTGATCAAACGACCCTTTCACAGGGTCACCTGATTCATAACAGTAGCAAAATTACAGTTATGAAGTAGCAACAAAAATAATTTTATGGTTGGGGGCGTCAGTCACCATGAAGAACTGTATTAAAGGGTCATGGCATTAGGAAGGTTGAGAACCACCGCTCTAGATTACAAATGCTTATTGAATTTTAAGGGGC